AAATACAAAAAAGTGAAATCACATCTTTTCTTGTTATTTTAGCATTCAGAAAATAAGGTGGTAAGTCCGTATTTTTAATTTGTTTATTTAAAGTTGCATACGTTATTAAAGTATGTTATTATGTGTGTCTTTTGAGTTGTTATTTATTAAGTTTGGTTAAGAAATGTTGAAGTAATCGAGGGTACTTCATATCGAGGGTCAGGTCGCGGCGGGCAACTGTGCGCAAGAGCAACTGTGCGCAAGCGTTTTAAAATGTGCACAATTACTCATCTTTCATATATCATATGACTAGCACTAATTTTTTCGTTTTTTCTTTGCATTATTATTTTATTTTGCCAAAGTCTATGTGCATTATTATTATATTAGTTTTGTATTTTCGCTTAATATATATGTATAATATACATATATTTAAAATATGTTTAATATATATTTATATTGCAATATAATAAATATATTTTCTGATTTTTTGTCAACATTTCATAATTCATTCATTTCTTACGACTTTTGCTTTGTCGCACTATTACCCAATCCATGCGTTCAATTACCCGATGCGCGAGAAATTTTTTTGCTTCTCCGTTTTTTCCTTTTTGCTAAATACAACCTTATTGAATGAAAATCTGTTCAATATGAGGATACATAATGGTAGAAGAATGTTTATACGTGGGTGATTCAAATCAAACTGAAACTTTTATTCTCATGAATATAAGAATAAAAAAGTCCTGATTTGATTTGAACCATCCACGTAGTTTCTATTTCCATACTTATATCGTTTTAAACTTGGAAAACCATTCCAGGAAAACCAACCAGGACAATAAATTTCCCTTAGGTGCACAATTCACCCACTTTCCCCTATGCATGTGGCATGTGTGGGTAAGATATTGATGTAGTGATGTGTCAATGACACGTAAATCGTCTGTATGTAAGTATACTATTTACAATATGACCAATTCCCTTAAACAAACGAAATAAGTTCTAAATAAAATTAATTCTAACTAATCTACTTAAATTAAATTCAATGAAAAATATTAAGCGAGAATATTAAGTAAGTCTGGAAATTTAAAAAATTCAGCGAAAGATCTTTTGATATTAAGAATTTTTGTATGAATTACCTTTGAGACGGGAACTGTCTTTTGACGTGAATGTATAAAATGAATGTACAGATTATACTGGTTTCTCACTTAAGTTGCTTTATTTAACAAAAAGTCATCGTTTACGTCTTCTCGTCTACACGATTTTAAAGCTACGGACATGTAAATAATTACACGGTATTAAATATTCTCTTGATTCTTATTGATGTCGAGAAGTAAAGGAGAATGTACGTTATGCATATAATACGCATCTCGTTTAAATTGAAATAAATGCGTGGGCTACGTCACTTGAATACAGTGTAG